AGAGAAATTTATGGATAGTGAAGAGAGAGAAATGACCTTATCTATAGGGAATGATTTCCAAAAAAACCAAGGACATGAAGAGAGACTTTCTAAAGATAATGTTTTTTATTAAGAAAGATTGTGGGATTATAAAATTAGAGAGAGAAATTATACCTGTTAGAGAGAGATAGGGAGACATGGAGAGACAGATAGAACGCACGTTGATCCATTGAGCAAAACTTTTCGTATATTCTCTCTTGCTTAAAATTCATTTTATCTTTTCTTATATTTAATATATATCTAGACTTTCTGTAATTGAACATTCAAATTAGTTTCTTCACATAATCTCTCTCCAAGTTCATGTATATTTTTTATTTTCATCTTTAGAGAAACATACAAGGGAGAAATTATTGCATAAATTTTTGCTTAGATAGAAAAAACTATAGGGAAGATTAAAGATATAACTTTCTTAAAAGGATGATGTTTATTTAGAGGGCAATGATTTCATGCAGTAGTTGTATAGTAATATGATGCAACAACATTCAAAAAACATGCTATGGCCATTTGTTTGATCCAAGTTTTGAAATATGCACTTTTTTCATTCTAATGATCAATCAAAAAAAACAAAAAATTGAAAACACAACCTAAAAAGTATTTTTTTAGCCCAATTAATATAGGCCGTTCATTTTTGTGAGATGCTTAGATCTAGTCCTTAGAAGGATTTTTTTCATTTCCAATTTTTTTGAATGGCTTTATTATCATTAGATGAACAATGTTAAAATAGAAAAAAAAGATTTTAGGTTTATAAAGGCTAAGATCTTGAAATTTCCCAAATGAATGGTGCAGATTCGTTTTTGGAGAGCACTCATTTTGACCATATCTAGGGTTCAAATTGAACTCTTTGTCTTTTGGGATTAATTATTGAGATGAAGAGAGTGTGTGTAAAATTTTAAGTCATACAAATACATCAAACATGATTTTTTAGAAATATCGTTGCATTATACGATGATACAACCGTTGCATAAAATCACTGCCTTTATTTAGAAAGACAAGGTTGAATAAGTGATAAGACAGTAGTGTGAAATTCATAGAGGGAGAGGGAGAGAGCCGATCACAGGAGGATCTCTCTGGCCTTTTAAACCTCAAAATTTGTGAACAATATCTTCGTGCATCTAACCATAAAGGTATGTTATAGTTTTTCTCTTTTAACGTTTTTTAAAAAACTTTCACCTTCTCTCTATGCTTCTCTTTCCCTTTATTTAAAAGGTGCACAAAATACGAGTACACTGTTAAGTTGTTAATTTATTAAATGTTTTCTGTTTTTAAAATTGCTATATGTGTGCATGTTTAAATGCAATGCCTATGCATGCAGCCCATAAACCATATTTGGATGCCATATTTTTATCTAGGAATAAGCTTTGTACTATGTGAATGCTCATTATATTTCTAGGTACTCCCCATTGCATATTTACCCAATTAGTTGTTAGTTAAAGATCAAGTTTAGTAAAGCTTATCTTTACCTGGGGGTAGGATAGGAAGGGCCCATCTTTTAGTTTATCCTTTAGTCCTTTTTTTAGGAAGGTTTTCTATTAGATAGGATTTATCCTTTTGTGGAAAGAATGGAACGTAGAGAGAAAGAATGAAAAGATTAGGTTTCTTATAGTTGGCTGTTCTTTTGGGTAGTTAGTAGGAGTTATGGTTTATCTTTCAAAAAGTGATGGTTATAAATGTAACATGTCCCATTGTAATTGGCGGATTTTTTATGTGAATTAAAAAACAAACAATGATCTTTGAGATCGGACAGAGAGAGACTATTTATGGATATTTTTTTCGATGTTGTGCTTGTGAGTCCATAGCGGAATACTTGGATCCGCACATTTGTTCTTTCCGTTTGTCATTTCCATCTCGGTTTTTATTTTTCTCTCTAAAACATGATTATTTTTGCCGAGTGTGATTTCTAGTAATTTTATATTACGTCATCGCTCCAATTAGCAGCTCAGTGTGACTCAGATTGGGCTAGCTACCCTATATCCCGATGATCGATTACTAGCTATTTTACTGCACTTGGTGTTTATCCACTTTCTTAGAAGACTAAAAAACAACCCACGATATCACGATCTTTAGCTGAAGCTGAGTATCGTGCTATGGCTATAGTCACTTGTGAACTCGTGTAGCTAAAAGCCTCCACCTTCATCCAATGCGCCTATACTGCGACAAACAAGTTACTCTTCACAGTGCTGCCAACCTCGTATTTCACGAATGGATTAAGCATGTAGAACTAGACTCTCATATCATCCGGAAAAAAATTCATTCAGGTATTTTTACAGCCTCTTAGTCTCTACTAACCATCAAGTGATAAATATTTTCACCAAAGCATTAAGTCGAGAACAACTTCAATTTCTTAGAGGGAGGTTGGGTGTTACGGATCTTCACGCGCCAGCTGTATTATATTAGTTGTAACTTCTAAAGATGGGAAATGATTTCATGCAATGATTGTATAGTAATATAATGTAACAACCTTCAAATGCCATGTTAGTGCCATTTGTTTGATCCTAATTTTAAATGTACCCTCTTTTCATTCCATTAAACAATCGCAAAAAAAATAAAATTAAAAAATGCACATTTGTTAAGGTGCATGATCTAGGCCTTAGAAGGATTTTTTATTTTCAAAATTTTTAGATAGCTTTGTTATTATTAGATGAACAATGTTGAAAAAAAAAAAAATGGTTTTGCGTTCGTAAAGGCCTAGATCTTGAAATTGACCAAATGGATAGTTTAGATTTATTGTTAGAGATGACTAATTTTAACCATATCTCCGATGCAAATTCCTTTTTTTTATTTTTTTTTAAAATTGACTATTGGAATGAAGAGAGGGTATGTGGAATTTTCGGTATGATACAAATGCTACAAACATAGTTTGTTTAGAAGTGTGGTTACATTATATTATTATACAGGTGAATGATTTCATGCAAAAGTTGTATAATAACATAATGCAATCACACCTTTAAAAGAACCATGTTTGTGACACTCGTCATCCCAATAGCTATTTAGTTATTTTTTAAAAATATAATTAGGTATGGTTAAAATAAGTCCTCTCCAACAATGAATCTAGACCATCCATTTAGTCAATTTCAAGATATAGGACTTTACAAACTCAAAACTATTTTTTTCTTTTCAACATTGTTCATCTAATGATAACAAAGCTATCTAAAAATTTTGAAAAGAGAAAAATCCTTCTAAGGTCTAGATCTAAGTACCTTAACAAAATGGATAGCTTTTGTTGATTGGGCTAAAATAACACTTTCTAGGGTACATTTTCAAATATTGTTTTTTTGATATTGTTCAATAGAACGAAAAGAATGTACATTTGAAAATTAAGATCAAACAAATGATACTCACATAATTTTTAAAGGTTGTTGCCTTATATTACTATACATCTGCATGAATGATTATCCTACAACTGTAGTATAAAATCATTCCCCCTCTAAAGATTTGGATGTATTATATTAGTTTGTTTATTGTACTTTCTTAAGATTTAGATTGTCTAGGTTCCTACAATTTTGGGATTATTGTAAACGAGTTATATATGTACTAACTTGCACTACTCAATGAAATGTAAAATTCTCCAAATTTTTACACTAATATAACAATATTTAAATTTACTTGGAAATGGTGTTCATACCAAAAAATCAATTGAAATATCTGACCAATCAGACAACCCGACGTGGTCCTTAAAACACAAACATGACGGCACAACTTAGAATCTTTTGTCTCCATTTCAAAATTGATGGCTAGAAGTTTGACACTTCAAATTTATAAATTATAATTTGAATCATATGTTTAAGATGCTTTCTTTTTTCTCATTTATGACATAGACCTTGCGTAATGTCTTTAGTCATCATTGAGGCCCTTCTCTCATCGATAGTTTCCAGAATGCCCTCAAGCACCAATGGCCCTTCTTTCATTTAAGAAATAGGACAATCGAGAGCCACTTATCCATTCCAATGCCCAGAGTGTTAAATAAAATAAACATTTACACACGGTAAAATATGCCTTTGTGAGCTTTCCAGCACACTGGAGCACCCAAACCCACCAAAATCCCAATATAGTCAATTATTGACCTATTAATAGAAATTTGACGCCTTTACAGCAAGATTTTACGTTGTGCCCTTCCATATAATTGCTATATTACGGAAAAAAAAAAAAAAAAAAAATCAAAAACAAATAAGAGGCCTCAACTCAAAACTCATAAAAAATGGCGATTCTTGTGTTGGATATTCTTTAAACCTATCTTACGTGAGAGTGGAAAATTAGAACTTGAAGTCTTAAAAAGTATACAATGTAGTATTATCAAAACTGTCTATTTTGCCCCAAAAATAAGTGTTTATAGATATGTAAGATTTGCATATTTTCTTAGCACCTAAAGATATTTATTCGAGTGTGAAAACCCACAACTTAAGGACAGGACTCGGCCATGATGGAGCTGAGTAACTCAGCCCAATTTGAATTACTCGGACCAATCTAGCCAAAGGCAAAAAATGTCAAAGAAAATAAACAAATATAAAAGAGGCCAAAACATAGGAAAAATATATTTAAATTCAAGTTAAACAAAACACATCTAAAATATAGTCAAAAAATCAGTAGAAAAAGGATTTTGAAAAGAAATCAGTTTGTGATGGGGGATATTTTAGAAACAATCTAAAAACGCGAAAACCTAAAAATAAGCATTCATACTTTGTATTCAATACCCTTTCCAATCTTTCTCAAAATCATAGAAACATTAAAATATATTACAATTTTTTTTTAAATGTTTTTTAAAGTTATTTTAACTTTCCCAATTGCAAACACCCAACTCCATGCCCGGTGAGACCTAGTTGGCTTGCCCGAGATTTGTAGCATACAGCTTTATTTGATTTTGTTTTTTTGGGGTAATTCATTGGGGGAGGACAGCCCCTACCCGGTTCTGCTTTATTTGATATATATTTAAAGAGGTGGCTCTTAGGATTTTCTTGGTGCTAGAAAATGCGTGACACGTTTACAATGGCCAAAGCGTCCCTATACTTGGGATATTCCTGGAAATTGAGACTTTTTGATCGCTCCAGAGAATAGATAACAAATAAGTAATGAATATTATCCTCTGTAAGGGTTTGAGGTACAGGAGTGAAGAAGCCCTATATAATGTGCCACACCCTTATCATCATTGTTTCATCAGATCGATTATCTATCATTGCCCAATTTTCACCCTATCCCCTCTTCTGCCCCAAATTCCTCGAATCCTCTGCAGGCTTTTCTCTTTGTGTTTTAATTGAGCACTTTGTTGTGGTGGGCATGGCAATGGAAGCTCAAACTGGGACTCATGTAGCCATTCTTCCGAGCCCAGGCATGGGCCACCTAATCCCCTTGGTGGCCTTCTCCAAGCGCCTCGTTGCTACGCACTCCTTTTCCATCACCTTCATAAACCTCATCACAGACTCCTCCGCCGCTCAGTCCTCCGTCCTCTCGACCCTCAACGACGTCGGCCTTTCCTCTCTCCAATCTGTTGATCTCCCCCCAGCTGACCTCTCTGACCTCCCCATCTCAGCCAAGATCGAGACCCGTATCTCCCTCACCGTGCGCCGGTCCCTCTCCTCCCTCCGCACCCTCCTTTGCGACCTCACCTCCAAATTTCCCAACACTGTCATGGTGGCCGACATCTTTGGCACCGACGCCTTCGATGTTGCCGACGAACTGAGCCTCCCAAAATACTTATTTTTCCCTGCAAACGCCACTGCTCTCTGCCTCATGAGTCAACTTCCTGCTCTCGATGCCCAGGTTTCAGGAGAGTTCAGGGACCTTCCGGAGCTCAGGCTCCCAGGTTGCTCATCGCCTTTCCCTGGAAAAGACCTCCTCGCCCCACTTCAAGACAGGAAAGATGCCGCTTACTCTTGGTTACTCCACCAGGCCAAGCGTTACCGGCAAGCAGACGGCATTTTCGTAAACACTTTCGAGGGCCTTGAATCACAGGCCCTGCAATTCCTCAAGGAGAATCGAGCTTCATTTCCTGAGGTGTTTCCTGTGGGTCCCCTGACTCTGGAGCTGCCCGAAAATGATAGTGAGTGCCTGCGGTGGCTTGACGAGCAGCCCCCTGGCTCAGTCCTGTTTGTGTCCTTTGGGAGCGGTGGCACTCTGTCGTGCGGGCAGTATCAAAATTTGGCTCATGGGTTGGAGAAAAGCGGCCAGAGATTCCTGTGGGTGATTCGAACCCCTGAGGTCACGGAGGGTCCGGCAGCCTTCTTCACTGTAGAGAGCAAAGGAGACCCCAAGGCCTACTTGCCTCAAGGCTTCCTTGAGAGGACCAAGGGGGTGGGAATGGTGGTACCATCGTGGGCGCCGCAGACACGGGTGCTGGCCCATGCAGCAACCGGAGGGTTCCTGACGCACTGCGGCTGGAACTCGACTCTTGAGAGCTTTCAGAATGGGATTCCATTAATTGCTTGGCCATTGTATGCAGAGCAGAAGATGAATGCCATACTTTTGGTGGATGAGATAAAGGTAGCCATTAGGCCTAAGATGCAGGAAGATGGTATAATAAAAGTGGAGGAGATTGATAGGGTGGTGAGGGGTTTGATGGAAGGCGAGGAGGGAAAGGCCCTCCGGGCCAAGATGCGCGACCTCAGGGATGCCGCCTCCACCGCCGTGGCCGAGGGGGGCTCCTCTTACCATTCAGTTGTCAATGCTACACAGATATGGAGATCCACCGTCTAATCCAATTGTGCATAGCCTAGATTGACTCTCTCTCCCTGTACTCCTCTCCGCCTCTGATATAAAAGCTATTTGAGAAGGCCTTTTCTTTTTCTTTTTATTATATCTAGATTAGCATGAATACGATAGCGACTCATGTACAAAAATTAAAAATAAAAGAGTCGGGGTTTTGTGTTCCTCATTTCCCTATCTGGTATATTTTTTTTATCGTAATTCAGTAATAGGATTCCAACTTCACACGTAAGGATTGTATATACAATATTATGTTTCTATATTGTAAGGAGATCATAATTGCTACGAGTCATTAAATATCAAATTGGATGGTTTGGGATATGTCACAAAATTTAGTAAATTTGTTTACCAAATTTGAATCTAATCAATAACTCACTCACAAACACCTCATTTTTTTAAAGAAAAAAGTTTATATAAAACCGAGGCTCTAAATAATCAAATTGGAACCTACCTCAAAAGTTTATCTAGAAGATGTTGTGTTGATGCCTAAATATTTTCAAATTGATCATCGCGGCATCAAGATGTATGGACATGAAAAAAAAAATGGATTTTGAATTTTAGAATTAGCCAATTTTTTAACATATTTTTAGACTGTCAATTTTCAAGATTTTCAAGTTTTCATAGATCTGTCGTTCTACATTATTTTTGAAACTTTAAACTATACAAATAAAGATGAAAATATATTTTAAGGTCATCACAAATACTTTCAATATTAAAACCACAATTCTAAATACTATTTGAAGGTAGGCTCTTATTGTTTAGAGCCTAAGCTCTATACAAATTGCATCCTTTTTTATTTAAATCGTACTGATGCAATCAACTGTGACATTTTGTATTAAAAGTAAATAAGCTTTTTCTATATTATATTATATGGTTTGAAGGATGTACTATTATTTCCGGTAAAGTGTTGTGTTGAAAAGACGATAAAAAAATGACGCCGACGATTCGTGTAAAATGTTTTGTTTAATGTTCCTGATGAATGAAAAAGTTTCAAAGATGTTATTGTCTTGTATTGGTGGCGGGGACCTTTATAGAAAAAGCGGCCTTTTCTTACCAGTGGTGCGGTGGTTGGAGTGACGTAACGCGTGACGCAAGATTGCGGAAGCCAGATGAGTTGGCACTACCATTCTCCGCTCCATTTCATTCACGGTCCTGCTACTTCACATGTTTATTAGAGGCGCAAGGGATTAGTAAATTATGCACCCAATAACAGGGGACTGTTTAATGCTTAAGAAATGATGGGTGGGTGATGGACTAGTCATCTGTTTACCAAATCTTTATTTTGTTGAATGATTGGTTTGTAAAAAAAATAGTTAGTCATTGGTTCATGTGTGTTATAGTTTTCAATTTTGAGGATCTCTATCATGCCCCGGAATTTCGAAAAAGTGATACAAATGGATTTAGGATTATTTTTTAAGGAAATTATTGTTAATATATTTATATTTTAATAAAATCAAAAAAAAAATATCAAGTTTTTAAAACCTCACCTACATTCTTTTTCTCAATTTTTGACTTATTTTGGACGAAACTACCCTTCATGGTAGTCTTTCTACCATAATACACCTTTACGGTAATTAATACCATTATAATTTGAGATTCTATTACGGTATTTTAAATACCATAATAATATAAAGTTATATTACGGTACTTAGAGTAATGTAGTAGCTAATCTTTTATTTGCGGTATTAAGATTACCGTAATGACTTGAAGGCTTATTATGGCAATCGAAATGCCGCAATTGTTTTGCACCTTATAACCTAAACGAAAAGCCCCATTCTTTCATTACGGCTTTGATTGTGCCAAAAAACCCAAAACCGAAGGCCTCATTACGGTTTTTTTTGTGCCATAAAACCTTGAATCGAAGCATTCTGCCGTTATAGACCTCAATCTCTCACGGGTCTCTCTCCCTCAACAGATTTTGAGGCAAGAAATATTTGTCTAGATTTATTTTTGGAGTCCATGTTTCGAGCTTACCGTGTGGTGATGGATTGTATTGTTTTTATATTGTAATTGTTTCTTTGAAGTTGTTCAGCATTGTGTATTTTTTTATTATTATGCATTGGATATATATATGCGAAATATGAAATATTGTTAAAGAGACATGGAATACTGAAATATGAAAGGGCGTTATGAATGATTCCTTCATAGAATTGAAAATTGTGAAATAATGTTTAGTACTCATTGTTTTGGTCTGAAATGAGATGTTTAGTTTTGGGTTTCAATTGTTTCATCGTCATCAACATCATCATAGCCCTATCCCAATTTTTGGAGGTTGGCTACACAAATTTTCCACCACTCGACTCTATTGATATTCATATTTTTGTGCATAAAGTTTTCGAGGTTTGGCTATGTCTTCAGTTAGACATACCCACCATTTTTCTTCTCACTATCGATATTCATATTTTTGTTGGACTTCCCCTTGCCTTTTAGATCCTTCCATTAGAATCAAATCACTAATCCTAATTGGTTGTGTTTTAGGTGAATGCCGCATAAAGTTAAGACTACTTATGATTTGATCACCTATTAAAGCTACCCCTATGTCTTCTTAGATGGATTCATTTCTAATACTCTTCTTTTTTTGTTTTGCCACTTGTCCATCTCAACATTCTCATTTCAATTACTCTTATTTTATGGATAATGTCATTTTTTGGCCGTCGAACATTCTCTTTACAAATAGCATTGAATATTTTATGTATTAGCTCGTAATGGAGACTTTGCATATACATATACCCCATTTAATATTTTCCATGAGGTGCCGCTAATAGTAATAATGCTTACTCTTTGGCTTTTTTATGTAGGATGGCTTTTTGAATTGTGATCATGGCAGAAGATGCATCCTTTCCAAGAGGTCCTGAGATTCCTACATTGCTTACTAGACAGAGAGAACATATATCACATAAGATCTGAGAAGGAGATGTATGTACAAGTATTTAAAATTATATTATTTGTCTATCATGTTAGCTAATCAATTTATTTATTTTAGTATCTGAAATCAGAAATTCTATTTCAAGATCGGGAAAATACCTTTGGGATTGATGAAAAGCCCAATGTACATTCTTCATGGTAATTAACAAACAATGATCAAATTGATTTGGTTAGGAGATCAAGATTATTACCTCTGACCATAGTACCGATGACTCACCATGACCGTGGCTCATTATTATTATTATCTAGAGGTGGCGCATAGAGACGAACACCGGGCACTTCAATGTAGACATCGGAGAGATGATGCTTACTCTAGAAGATTAATGGAAAATTCTCCAGTTAAAGGTGACTGGTGTAGCTGTAACTTTGAGGAGAGTGGACAACTACGAGGATTATATAGTCTGCAGGATAGGATAACTGCCACCTAGTTGTAGTCATTCTATTATCTAGCTGACATCGTTGAGGAACACGTTTAAGTGGCTACCACATAACTATAACCACACCACTCTTGTACGATACACCTGAGCCTATCTCTTATATCTATTTGGCTGCACAATATTTGCAAATTTCATTAATGGTATTGTTCTTACAATCTATTTACAACATTTTGAGGACATGATCGTAGCTGGTCAGTATGCATGGGGTGCAGCTGCCTTAGGTTTTTTGTTTCAAGCCTTGTCAAAGGTTATTCGTCCTGATCATCAACACCTAAGTGGATCAACCACTGTTTTGCTGGTAATGCTAGTATATTAATGTTTTGATACTTTTTATAAAGTTCGATAGATATCTGTTGTTGTGATTCTTGTTTTTTTATACAGGCATTTTAGTGTTGGGCGTACGAACATTTCAAATTGTTGCGCCAAATTCCCAAAGCATAAGGGTAGGGCAACTTAGATCCCTCAGGTGGACCCCTCCTAGAGAATGAGATAACACTCACAACTTTGGTCTCATGGAGCGACATGAGATTGCTAACGTACGTATAAATGATGTTAGTATAATATACTTATAATTTATTTTGTTTATTTATAATTTAATTAATTGCAAGTTCAGATTATTTAACTTAAAATTTGCCTTATTTTTGTCATAAGTCATATGGACCCCATACGATGATTATCCTGACATAGGATAGGAAACTACAGAGGACAAAGATTATAGGTTTCTTGTCCGTCAGACTGCCTTGTGCCATACATACCTCATATGTGGACACATTTATTAGGGGTATATGCTAGATTGTGTGCTCCGACAATTTGGACTTCACCAAAGGATACCAACAGATCCCTTGTAGTAAGAGAGGAGGGAGAGAAGGGGGAAAAGGGATGATAATTGAGAAGATGAGCTTCGAGCGGAAATTGATATGTGGATGAATAGGTTAGATTATATTTATAAGGCAAATAAATATATGTTCAATGGGATGTCGACATAAGAATACATTGAGTGGTATAGGCTAAGGACTAAGCCCTTGATCCTTAATCCATTTAGGAGACGTCTCTCCAAATATGCACCTTGAGGATATACTGATGAAGATAGAATGATAATAATTTATTTTCATATTTCATATGACTTGATACAATTTAGAAGTCTCAATAACCTATTTTCATATGACTTGATGCAGCCTAGGGACATCAACCATGCAACTAAACTTGTACGTGAAGGTTACAGTTTAAGAAATTGGGACCTAATTAGGGAAGCATTAGAAGTGCTTAAAATTTATGACCCAAAATTTGAAGGGGAATAAGAATATGAAGAATTAGAGTTGGTTGATGCGATAGATGACAATGTGCGAGTATGGCTTCCTCCTCAACCAGATAAGGGGCTAAGTAATACATAACTCATCCCTACACCAGTTCATCCAGAGGAGCCCAGATGGCAGTTTGTCCTTATGTTGCAAACTAAGAGGAGAGCAACCCACAGCAGGAGAGCAGCTCAAATACAGAGTTGCTCAAATACAGAGTTGCAGTTACCACAGTGGGGTGAGAAGTTGCCAGTATGATGAAAGTGTTCATGATCATATATTTTTTTTTTATAAAGAGGCAAGTAGTTCCTAAACTGTGTAAAGAGGCCATTAATGCCTATATTGTTTTTTTGTGAAATGTGTGATATTAGGCCATTAGTGCCATTAGGCCATTAGTGCCTATACCATTTTATGAAAGGTTGATATATAAATATCTTTTGGTAAATGGCTGGATGCATGGCTGAAAAGATGAAATATCAATATTCTTTGTACATAATCAGGATATGCTTATG